AGGACTCCTGGGTTCTCTCCGCGGCTCTGGGAGGGGAGTGGGGGCTGGTGGGTTAGAGCAGGGGGGGCTGGGAGCCAGCGTTGGCCCTGAGATTTGGTCCTTTAATGTTAATCATCAGCTAAAGTTTTACATCGGAATCTGCTGATGCCTAAATGAAAAAGATTCACAGGGCAGAGACTGGGGAGCAGGGAATGGGGCAGGGGCCTGTCCACTCTAGGGGGCGCTGCCTCGCTCGGCAGGGGGTAGGAATTCCTAGCCGCAGTGGGTCCTTTGCCTGTGGGGCGGAGGGTGGGTGGAGGGGTCAGGGTACAGAGCAGACATGTCCCGTGACGCTCAAGAGCTCTGCATTCCCTGAGACTCACCCTTGGTCCCCATTCGGGGCCTTACACATTAATGGGGCTCTCCAGCTAATGGCCAAGAGAAGCCAGGACTCCTGGGTTCTCTCCTCGGCTCTGGGAGGGGAGTGGGGGCTGGTGGGTTAGAGCAGGGGGAGGCTGGGAGCCAGGACTCCTGGGTTCCATCCCCCGCTTGCGGCCATTGTGTGTTTTGAATTCCAGCTCCCCTCTGACCTACTAAAACCCCCTCCCACAGCTGGGGAGAGAACCCAGGAGTCCTGAATCCCACCCTACTCCCCTCCTAGACCTCAGACCATAACCCAGGAGCCCTGGCTCCATTTTAGTTCCCCATCTGTCCACACACGCTCACCTTCCTCGCTCCCCATAACCCCCAGTGTAGGCCAGTGCCACCCTCAAACCCGGCCCTATTTCCTCCATCCCAAACCCAGTTGTGGCTGCAGACCTGCTCCCCCCACCCCCAGGTCCCCTATTACTCCCTATGCGGGGAGACGGAGTCTCCTTCCCTCTGGCCCCAAACTCCTTTGCAATCAGAGGTTGCTTGGTGTTAGCGGTGGGATCCCCTCTGTTTGGCACTAGCGGTGGGTTCCCCTGTTTGGTTTCGGTGGTGGGATCCCCTGTATGCTGTTAGCGGTGGGATCCCCTGTTTGGTGCTAGCGGTGGGATCCCCTCTGTTTGGTGCCAGCAGTGGGATCCCCTGTTTGGTGTTAGCGGTGGGATAGCTCCTTCCTGCCAGGTGCCCCCTCCTGCCGCTGGAGCGAACTGATTCGCAGCCACTTGAGACTCAGGGGTGGGACACAACTCCCACCTGTGTAGCCCCACCCCCATCTCGCCCCGGCAGCTGCTCTTAAAGGGGCAGCAGGAGTCCAAGGGCCGGGAAGGGAAAGAGGCAGAGGAGGGAGCCGGGACCATGAACTGCATCATCCGACCGTGCATGGTGAAAGACTGCAAAGTCATCCTGCAGCTCATCAAGGTAAGGGAGGGGAGGGGTCCTGGCTCCCAGCCCCCCTGCCCCCCACTCCAACCTACCACCCTCCACTCCCATCCCAGCACCGGGGAGAGACCCCAGGAGTCCTGGCTCCCAGCCCCCCCTGCTCTAACCCACCAGCCCCCACTCCCCTCCCGGAGCCAGGGAGAGAACCCAGGAGTCCTGACTCCCAGCCCCCCCTACTCTAACCCACCAGCCCCCACTCCCCTCCCAGAGCTGGGGAGAGAACCCAGGAGTCCTGGCTCCCAGCCCCCCCTGCTCTGACCCACCAGCCACCACTCCCCTCCCAGAGCTGGGGAGAGAACCCAGGAGTCCTGGCTCCCAGCCCCCCCTGCTCTAACCCACCAGCCACCCTCCCCTCCCAGCGCCGGGGAGAGAACCCAGGCGTCCGGAGGTTGGGGCAGGGAGAGGCTCAGGATGGGGGTCGCAAGGGACTGGTCCTTGGGGCGGGGGGCTGGGGCCCAGGGGGCAGCGGCGGCTCTGGGGCGCTCAGGTGGGGGCTGTCTGTTGCAGGAGATTGCCGTCGATTACAAGGTGCCCCCCACCGATGTGAAAGTCACCCTGGAAGGTAAGAGCCTTTGTGGGAGGCAGGGGGAGGGATGGGGGGCAGAGGGGGAGGGGTCCTGGGCAGAGGGAGGTCCTAGCAGAGGGGGAGGGATGGGGGAGCAAGGGGAGGAGGTCCGAGCAGTGAGGGGCGCTGGGGGGGGTCTCCGGCTCTGCACACCGCTTGCCCCATGGCTCTGGCTCCCTCCCATTCAGCAGCGCCCCCACCCCGCGGTGCCCCACTCCGGTGCCCCTCCTTTCCCACACCCTGGGGGGGGGGGCGCGCTGAGCCCTGATGTGTGTCTCTCCTTCCCCTGCCCAGCGCTGAGAGAGGACGGGTTCGGGGCGCGACCCCAGTACGACTGCTACCTGGCAGAGCTGCCCCCCGGGGAGACGAACAAGGAGGGTAGGTCTGTGCGCTCGTGCGACGATGCCCCCTGCTGGTGTGCGTGCGCTCGTGCGACGATGCCCCCTGCTGGTGTGCGTGCGCTCGTGCGACACTGCCCCCTGCTGATGTGTGTGCATGCAATGCTTCCCCCTGCTAGTGTGTAATCACACGTGCAACCCTGCTCACCGTTGGTGTGTGCACCCGTGCAACGCCGCACCGTGCTGTTGTGCGCGTTTCTGCCCCACACTGGCTAGGATGCCGATGGCTCCCTGTGTGTCATGGGCCCCGTACAGCTACCGGCTGCTGGCGCTGGAGGCGGGTGGGTCCTGGGGTGACGCCGGCAGATCCTGCCCACGCCCAAGACTCTGCCGTTCCCCCAGCAGGTGGCAGCATCGTGGGTTACGTCCTGTCCACCTACACCTACAGCGCCTGGAAGGGCAGGAACCTTTACATGGACAATCTGTACGTCCAGCCCCAGTTCAGAGGTACGGCCGGGCCAAGCCCAGGGGGTGAACCCAGGCGTCCGGGCTCCCAGCCCCCCCGTTCTAACCCACCAGTCCCCACTCCCTTCCCAGAGCCGGGGAGAGAACCCAGGCGTCCTGGCTCCCAGCCCCCCCGTTCTAACCCACCAGCCCCCACTCCCCTCCCAGAGCCGGGGAGAGAACCCAGGAGTCCTGGCTCCCAACCCCCCCGTTCTAACCCACCAGCCCCCACTCCCCTCCCAGAGCTGGGGAGAGAACCCAGGAGTCCTGGCTCAGTTCTGTTGTTCCCACAGGCCGGCGGATCGGGAAGCAGCTACTAGAGAAGGCCGCCCAGGTGAGTTTCGGTCACTGGGGGGGGGGGGGGGCTGCTCATCTCTAACCCCCCCACCCCACCCTGAGCCCCCCAACTCTGCCCTAGGGAGCAAAGCCCTCTTTGCTGGGGTCACCAGCCCCACCCCCCACCTCTCTGACCAGTCCCAACCTGGATCGGCTGAGGCTTTGGCACTTCGTCACTTCAGCGATGGGCCAGGATTGGGGTGACTCGCCTGTGTGTGTGAGAGACACCCCAGCCCTCTGACCCCCACTATCTCGCACCCCTCGCTGTGTGTCCTATGCCCCGCACTGCTGCCCGGTAGCGGAGATTCCCCCCACAGCAGGGGTCTAACCCCTCTCTCTGCTCCTCCGTGTGTCCTATGCCCCGCACTGCTGCCAGGGAGTGGAGATTCCCCCCACAGCAGCGGGTCTAACCCCTCTCTCTGCTCCTCCATGTGTCCTATGCCCCACACTGCTGCCAGGGAGCAGAGATTCCCCCCACAGTAGCGGGTCTAACCCCTCTCTCTGCTCCTCCACGTGTCCTATTCCCCGCACTGCCCCCCAGTAGCGGAGATTTCCCACCCACCCCCCCGCAGCAGCGGGTCTAACCCCTCAGTTTTTGCTGCCCCCTGCAGGCAGGCATGGCTAAGGGCTGTTGTCAGCTCCGCATGCATGTGGGCAACTGGAAGGCCAACGAAATGGACTTCCTGGCCCACCATGGGGGCGAGGACCTGACGGCCAAGGAGTGCTGGACCCTCTTCCGCTTCAACGAGGACGCCCTGCGGAGACTGGCAGCCCGCAGCACATTTTAGGGGCCGCGGGGGGGGGGAACAAAGCCCAGATGGGTTGAGGGGGGATGGGGGGTTCCCCAGAGGAGAGAGAGCATCTGGGCGGGGCGTTTCCCAATGGGCTGGGAGGAAGAGGTCTCCATAACTCCCAGGGGATGGGGGGAGGTTTCGGGGGGCTGAGGGGTCCCCAGAGGGGGGAGGGGTTTAAAGAGGGGATGGGGGGGTCTGATGGGGGGCAATAGGGATGGGGTTAACCCTAGCCCTGGTGTGACTCGGGGAGCTCGTTTTCCCAATGCTCCAACCCCCCAAAAAATTACTGGGGGCTGGTGTGGGCCTGGCTGAAAGTGGGGGTGATTCTTGCTGGGGGGCCCTAAAAATAGATGGTTAATGGATATGAGGAATTGTAGTCAGGACTCCTGGGTTCTCTCCCCGGCTCTGGGAGGGGAGTGGGGGCTGGTGGTTAGAGCACGGGGGGCTGGGAGCCAGGACTCCTGGGTTCTCTCCCCAGCGCTGGGAGGGGTGTGGGGTCTAGTGGTTAGCAATCAGTGACTCTATTCCCAGGCCTTAACCATTAAATCATCTAGTTTTTGGGCTGGGTAATTTTTACCTTCCTTTCCAGCCTGCCGCGCCCCACGTCAAGCGAGATCTTTGCCCCACATGGATCGCTTCCCCCCAGCATGTGATCAGCGAAATCTGTGACCCGACAAATCCCCCTCCCCCAATGCCCCCTGAGAGGCAGCTCCTCAGCCGAGCAGCGATGGACCCCGACCCCCAGCTTAGTGATTGGGTGTCCTCTGCCCGGGGCCCCGCCCCTCTCTGCCGCCAGGGGACTGAGAGTCAGACCAGGGATAGGAGGGAGTTGGAATCTGTCCCCCCCACCCGTGACAAAGTGGGAATGTTCTTAATGTTTTCTCTGAATACTGTGTGGGTGCCTCAGTTTCCCCTATGCACTATCTAGGTGGTGGGATCAGGGGGTGTGATTGTTGCAGAGGCCTAGGGGGCCAGTGCGATGGTGTCTGCACAGAGAATGGCCGACACCCTGTCTCCTGGCCACTGATGGCCTGGGCCCCTCCCCGGCAAGGTGCCAACTGAAGGTGTTGGAGAACAAAGAGATCAGGTGACCTCCTGGCCCGGGAAAGAGACAAAGGCCAGAGGAGGGGCTGGAGAGTTTCAGTTTGGAGCTGGCTGGGGAAACTGAGGGAGGCCCAGCACTGGGATCTGAGCTCCCTGCCCCCCAAGATGGACCTGACTGAGGGGGTCCTGTTGTCTGTACCTACAAGCCCTGTCTTGGACTGTGTTCCTGTCGTCTGAATAAACCTTCTGTGTTACTGGCTGGCTGAGAGTCGCGGTGAATTGCAGGAAGTGGGGGGTGCAGGGCCCTGACTCCCCCTCACTCCGTGACACCACCCCCACCCCGTGGCCCCAAGCCAGCCCACGGATGCGCCCAGCGAGCGGCCTGGCATTAGCCCACCTGCTGCAGGGCTGAGCCTGAGACCAGGCAGAGCTAGCCCAGGGCACCAGCGAGCCCCCCCAGCCCATCCATCCATCCGTCCATCTCTATCTACCCATCCATCCATCTATCCACTTCTACCTTCTACCCGTCCATCCATACACACACACCTCTATTCATCCTCCCACACACAGCTATCCATCCATCCGTCCATCCATCCTCCTACTCACTCATCCATCCATCCGTACATCCAATCCCCATACATCCCCTCTATCCATCCATCCCAATACACGTCATCTATCCATCCATCCATTCACCCATCCATCCATCCCTTCATCCACCCACATGTCCATCCGTCCATCCAGCCATCAATCTGTTCATCGAACCCCATGCATCCCTGTCCATCTTTCCATCCATCCATCTACCCATCCATCCAACCCCATGCACTTCTGTCCATCCACCCATCTACCCATCCATCCAGCTATCCACTTCTACCTATCTGTCCATCCAAATCCACATCCCTCTGTCTGTCCATCCCTCTGTCCACCTATGTATCCATCCATCCATCCCTCCTCCTACCTACCTATCCATCCCCATACACACCACTCACCTATTATCTATCCATCCGTCCGTCCATCCATACACCCACTCATCTATCCATCCTCCCACACACTCCTCCCCATACACCTCTCTCTCTCGCTGGATCCATCCTCCCCCACGGGTACAGCACCCAGCTTCTCCTGGGCCCCCCATCTTTGACCCAAGGGCTCAGTTCCATGCTCTCATCACACACTGTCCCCACGGATGCACACTGGTCTCTGGGCCAGGAGTGCCTGTAGCTGGGGAAACTGGCTCCTTTTACCTGGCTACCCCGCCCCACTGGCTCGGAGGGAGAGGTGCTGTGGCTAATGTGTCTTGGATTCTGATTGGTGTCAGAAGTGGGATCCCGTCTGGTTGGTGTTAGCGGTGGGGTTGCCTCCTACTTGGTGCCCCCTCCTGGCTCCATAGGGAACCGCAGCCACCGAGGGCTCTCGGGGTGGCCAGGACTCCTCCTCCTGCTCCTGGATATCTGACCGAAAGGGCAGGAGTCCAAAAGCCGAGAAGGGCGAGAGAGCAGAAGAGAGGCCAGCAGCCATGAGCTACGTCGTCCGACCCTGGGCTCTGAGGGACCTCAAGGATGTCATGCAACTGATTCGGGTGAGCAGCAGATGGAAGCGTAATCGCACCCTGAGGGAATGGAGCTGCTCAGGGGTGGTAGCAACAGGTGGAGATAGAACCCAGGAGTCCTGGCTCCCAGCCTCCCGCTCCTCTGATGACTAGTTCCCCCTCCCTTCCCCTCTCCAAGCCAGGATAGAACCCAGGAGTTCTGGATTCAGCTGGAAAGTTCCCCATTCCCAGGGTAGCAGAGCTGTGGGCATGTTAACAAGAGGCGTTGAGATGCAGCCACTTCTGGGGCGGGGTGGCTGGTGACACAGGGACCCCTCGCCTGGTGCTGAGATGCAGCCACCTCTGGGGCAGGGTGGCTGGTTATACAGGGTCTGTCATCTCTTAACAGGAAGGGGCAACATTTCACAAGGCTTTGGATCAGGTCAAAACTACCCCCGAAGGTAAGTTTGTGGTGCTGTACCATGAGCAAAGTTCAGGGTTGGATTTCAGTGCTGGGGGGCAGCTCGGAGTTTCTTCACCCCACTCCAAATTCCAGCCCCCCCTGCTCTAACCCACCAGCCCCCACTCCCTTCCCAGAGCCGGGGAGAGAACCCAGGAGTCCCGGCTCCCAGCTCCCCCCTGCTCTAACCCACCAGCCCCCACTCCCCTCCCAGAGCAGGGGAGAGAACCCAGGAGTCCTGGCTCCCAGCCCCCCCTGCTCTAACCCACCAGTCCCCACTCCCCTCCCAGAGCCGGGGAGAGAACCCAGGAGTCCTGGCTCCCAGCCCCTCCCTGCTCTAACCCACCAGCCCCCACTCCCCTCCCAGAGCCGGGGAGAGAACCCAGAAGTCCGGGCTCCCAACCCCGCCTGGATCCAGCCAGGTTCTGTTTATTCTCTCTGCCTGCAGTGCTGAGGGAGGACGGCTTCGGGATGGACCCCAAGTTTGGCTGCCTGGTAGCTGAAGTTCCCCCTGACCAGAGGAGCAAAGACGGTGACACATGCGAATTTGGGCGGGGGGGAGGGCTAAGCAGGGAGGGGGCTGGGCAGTGTTTGGATGGGAGACTCACGTGCCCCCACGGAGCAGGGCGGGAGGCTCAGCAGGGGGCGCTGTTCTACACAGAGTGAGGTGTTTGACTCCACACCAGAGCTGGCCGCATCTCAGCACCGGGCCAGGGGTCCCCATGTAACCAACTGCCCCACCCCAGAGGTGGCCACGTCTCAGCGCCGGGCGAGGGGTCCCTGGGTAACCAGCTGCCCCGCCCCAGAGGTGGGCGCATAGCAAGCCATACAAGGGGCTAAATCTTTGCTGGCAGATGTGCCCTTGTCTCTGCCTTCAGCGCTGGTTTCTCCAGGGCACACCGTCGTCGGGTACCAGTTCCATTATTTCAGCTACTGCACCTGGAAAGGGCGGATTGTTTTTGGGGAGGATCTGTACGTCATGCCGGAGTTCAGAGGTAGGGGGCGGCGCTAGGAGGCTCTGTGGGGCAGGGAGCAGGGCCGGGGCAGCAGGGGCACTCTCCCCTGGCAGGCAGGGCTGGCCCGAGGGTGGCGCTAGGGGGCGCTGTGGGGCAGGGAGCGGGGCGGGGGCTCAGCAGGCGGCGCTCTCCCCAGACACTACACTAATATTGTTAGACTGTCTTGCCTTTCATGGAAACAATATTAAGACACATGCGATTTTATGCAAGACCCACAGGGTCAGGGTTTGAACCCACATATCATCTGTGCCAGATGAGGGGTTCCTGTGTAACTAGCTGCCCTACCCCAGAGGTGGCTGCATCTCAGCGCCAGGCGAGGGGTCCCCGGGTAACCAGCCGCCCTGCCCCAGAGGTGGCTGCATCTCAGCGCTGGGCGAGGGGTCCCCGGGTAACCAGCCTCCCCGCCCCAGAGGTGGCCGCATCTCAGCGCCGGGCGAGGGTGAAGTTGGTAGATCCGTATTGATTTATGTGCTTCTTCGCAGGCAAAGGAATTGGCACCAGTTTACTGAGCCAAGTGGCCAAGGTGAGATTAGCTCCGAAATTCAGTCTCTCTCCCTTTCTGGACTGTGTGGGCCAGATCTGGGGTCAATGGGCCTATTGCTATGTCGGAGTCTATGGGGCCAGACCCCCCAGGTAACTCCTCTGGGGCCAAGCCCTGCCTTCTGGCATCGGAGCAGATAGGACGCTGCTGGTCCCACTCCGATGGGTGAGTCAGTAAAACAGCTCTGTCCCTCTGTCTCTCCCGCAGCTTGCGCTGGCCCACGGCTGCACCCAGTTCCGCTTCGTGTCGGCCAACTGGAACCAGCCGGCCACGGCGCTGTATGAGAAACTGGGGGCTGTGGACGTGACGGCGAGGGACAACTGGGTCGTCTGGCACATTGAGGGGCGGGCCGTGCGGGAGCTGGCAGAGCGGGCAACACAATGAAATGTTGCTGCCAGGAGGCAGCCGGGAAGAGGACCCAGGAGTCCTGGCTCCCAGCGCCCCCCTGCAATAACCACCAGCCCCCATTCCCCTCCCAGAGACAGCGCCCCCTGGGGGTGCCACAGGGCGTGACCTGCCACGCGGCTCGGGACACTTGCCAATAAACAACGGTGTCAACTCGCTTGTGCATGACTCTGTGCCTGGGAGAGGGGGGGTTGTATCTTTCCACCCCTTCAGGGCTGCTTTAGGAAGTGGGGGAGTGGGGGCTGGTGGGTTAGAGGGGCGGGGCCTGGGAGCCAGGACGCCTGGGTTCTCTCCCCAGCTCTGGGAGGGGAGTGGGGGCTGTGGGTTAGAGCAGAGGGGCTGGGAGCCAGGACACCTGGGTTCCATTTAGCTATTTTCGTGTTGAAAGCGGGAGGTCGGGCCTCTTTCACAGGGGGGGGATTGTGCCCCATAGAAAGTAGGTGGGGCAGAGCCAAGTGCATGCTGGGAAATGCAATAAATTCTCTCCAATCGGCGGCTCTCCCAGCTGAGTTCCGAGAGCCGCTGGGAGAGGCGGGGTGCTGCTCCCTCCTTCCATGACTTTGAACCCAGGCGATCGGCGAAGGAGGGGAAATGGAGTGTGTTCTCCGGCCCTGCAGGGCTGAAGACTGCGCGGAGGTCATGCGGATGATAAAGGTAAGGGGGCGGCAGAACCCAGGAGTCCTGGCTCCCAGCCCCCCTGCTCTAACCCACCAGCCCCCACTCCCTTCCCAGAGCCGGGGATAGAAGGGGGGAACCTGGGGAGCTTTGGTGTGCAGAATGTGGGGCTGGGAGCAGGGAAGGGAATTTGGGGGGTTAGGAGGTGGGAAATTGGGGCTGGGGAGAAACGGGAGGGCTGGGTGGAGAAGGGATTTCTCGGAGGCTGGAGGGAGGGTTTGGGGGGCTGGGAGAGGAATTGGGGGGTGGGGATGGAGAGAGGAATTGGGGAAGATTTTGGGGGGACTGATCCAGGGGGGTCCCTTTCTGCCCCCAGGAGCTGGCGGAGTTTGAGAAGCTCCCGGACCAGGTACAAATCAGCGACCAAGGTGAGCTCTTCCCCCCCTACATACCTCCCTCTCCCCTTGGGACCTGGGCATGCACCCCCTCTTCCAGGGCAGGAGAAGGGGCTTTGATGGTTCCCCAATTTGGGAGGGGGGGGTCCTGCCTGCGAGTGACAATGGGGTTCTCTCCTGCCCTTCCCCCCATGTCTCCCCCCGCCTCCCAATATCCTCCCCCAGTGCTCAGGGAAGACGGTTTCGCCAACGACCCTTTCTACAGATGTCTGGTGGCCGAGGTCCCGCCCGAGCATCGGAGTCGAGACGGTAATGCCCCCCTCCCCGCAATGCCCCGGGGGGGTACCCCCCAGACACCCGTGGGGTCCAGAATCCTGGCACAGGAATAATTTGGGGGACCCCAAGAGGCCGAAGCTGGCCCAGCCCCACCCCAGCTCAGCCCCATGGCAGATTGGGGGAACCCAGACCCCCAGTTTTCCCTGATACATGTAGCTCCCGCCCCTCAGGGCCAGCCCTGACCCCAGCTCTGTATCCCGGTGGGTCAGAAGTGGAGGTCGGGGGGTCGAGCAGTGAGGTTGGGGGGGGTGAGTTTGGGGGGGAAGATGGAGGGGACCCTCATAAAACAGCCACCAGGCCCCCCACTCAGCCAGGAATAGAACCCAGGAGTCCTGGCTCCCAGCATCCCCTGCTCTAACCCACCAGCCCCCACTTCCCTCTGAGAGCCGAGGAGAGAATTGGGGGTGCCTGGGGAGCTTTGGGGATGGAGAATGGGGGCCTGGGAGCAGGGAAGGGAATTTGGGGGGCTGGGAGGTGGGGAATTGGGGGCTGGGTGGAGAAGGGATTTCTCAGAGGCTGGGGAGAGGTTTCGGGGGGGGGCTGGGAGAGTATGAGGAATTTGGGGGGGCCTGAGGTGGGGGCAGTCGTTGGACTTTGTTCCCCGCCCCAGGACACACCGTCGTGGGGTACGGCCTCTATTTCTTCACCTACAGTACCTGGAAAGGCAGGAACATCTACATGGAAGACCTGTACGTCATGCCTGAGTTCAGAGGTAGGGAACAGGGCGGGAATGGGATTATTTTGGGGTCCCCACCGTAGACAGCCCCTGCGATGCCTGTAAGGCAGTCACCCCAGGGGAAGAGCTAGGACACAGAAAAGTGGAGCAGAACCCAGGAGTCCTGGCTCCTAGTCCCCCCTGCTCTGACCACCAGCCCCGGCTCCCCTCCCAGAGCCGGGGAGAGAACCCAGGAGTCCTGGCTCCCAGCCCCCCCCCGCTCTAACCCACCAGCCCCTGCTCCCCTCCCAGAGCTGGGGAGAGAACCCAGGAGTCCTAGCTCCCAGCGCCCCCTTGCTCTAACCACTAGACCTGCTGTTAAATTACTGATTTCTCTCCCCACGCAGGTAAAGGCATTGGCAAGAAGCTTATGAGTAAAATTGCAGAGGTAAGAGGACATTGGGCCCTTTTCCCTTTCTGGTCGCTTCCTTTACTTGGTCTCAGATTGCAAGGCAGCCCCCTAGGGGGTATCATTGTTCCCACTTATACCATGGGGGAAACTGAGGCTATGACCTGGCTCCCAGCCTCCCCTGCTATAACCACCAGCCCCCACTCCCCTCCCGGAGCCAGGGAGAGAACCCAGGAGTCCTGGCTCCCAGCCCCGGCTCCCAGCCCCGACTCCCCTTCCAGAGGTGGGGAGAGAATCCAGGAGTCCTGGCTCCCAGTCACCCCTGCTCTAACCTACCAGCCCCCACTCCCCTCCCAGAGCCGGGGAGAGAACCCAGGAGTCCTGGCTCCCAGCCCCCCCTGCTCTAACCCACCAGCCCCCACTGCCCTCCCAGAGCCGGGGAGAGAACCCAGGAGTCCTGGCTCCCAGCCCCCCCCTGTTGATACTTCTCAGATCGGCGTGGAGAACAGATGCACCCAGCTGAAGTTTGTGGTGCTGGACTGGAATCGAACGGCCATCGACTTCTACCAGGGCCAGGGGGCGGTGGACCTCACGACCGCGGAGGGCTGGCACTTCTTCCACATCGAGGGAGATGCCCTGGAGCAGCTGGCGCAGGGGCACCTGGGACACTGACGTGGCCACCAACCCCAACGCCCCTCCCAGAGCCAGGGACAGAACCCAGGAGTCCTGGCCCCCCCCCCCCCCCGCTCTAACCACTAGCCCCCACTCCCCTCCCAGAGCTGGGGAGAGAACCCAGGAGTCCCGGCTCCCAGCCCCCCCTCCTCTAGCCCCCCAGCTCCCGCTCCCCTCCCAGAGCCGGGGAGAGAACCCAGGTGTCCTGGCTCCCAGCCCCCCCTGCTCTAGCCCCCCAGCCCCCGCTCCACTCCCAGAGCTGGGGAGAGAACCCAGGAGTACTGGCTCCCAGCCCCCCCACCCCTTCTAACCACTAGACCCTCCTTTCAGGAGGCCTGGCTGGGGAGATCACAATCATCTGTCCTGGCCTTGGCTTCTAGAAATCTACCCATGTATTTATTAAATAAAACCGTACCAAAACAAGCCCCTGCAATGCACGCCCCTCTTTCTCCAGGAGAGGACAATCACGTGTCCGATACGGGGCCTGGTTGCTTAATGGCCTCCGGGAAGGAGCTCAGATACTCCCTGGATCAACCAGGCGGGAACCCCAGGGAAGTCCTGTGGCCCCTACAGGACCACAGATTGTGACCTTAAAATGTATACATCTAAGGGGGACGAGGGCACGGTAGAAGATCCCATAGTGAGAAGAACCTATAGAGAAGAGAAGAACCCATAGAGATGAGCCCATAGAAAAGAACCTATGGAGAAGGACCCATAGAGATGAGAAGAACCTATAGAGAGAAGAGCCTATAGAGAGGTGAAGGGCCCATAGAGAAGACCCTATAGAGAAGAACCTATGGAGAAGGTGTCACAGAGTCGCCAGGCGATAGGGGAAACTGAGGCACCCCTACAGTATTCAGAGGAAACATTAAGAACAGTCCCACTTCATCACATCAGGACCCGAAGAGAAGAGCCTATAGAGAATAGAAGAGCCTATAGAGAAGGACCCATAGAGAAAAGAGACCATAGAGAAGAGCCTATAGAGAGGTGAAGAGCGTATAGAGAAGAACCTATGGAGAAGGACTCATAGAGAAGAGAAGAGAAGAGCCTATAGAGAAGCACAGCAGCAAGGTGTCTAGACGCTGGCACAACTGCTGTATATATATTTTTCCCCCCTTCCTACACAGATGGGGACCCAGAAGTGGTGACATTCCAAGCGGACAATCTTTCCAGACCTCATCTCATCTCAGAAGCGGCCCTTCTTCTGTACGAAGATTGTGAGTCAAGGACCCCAAATCCTGAAGTGCTGACAAATTGGAGGCGGGGGTATTTGCCTTCTGAATTTATTTTATTTTATTTTATTTGTTTTTTTGTTTTGAGCTTCTAGGGGGAAGCTGCTAGCTCCTAAGAGCGGTTAGTTTCAGGTACAAACTTCATGTGCCGAAAGTTTCCACTGTGCATGCAAAAATCTGTAAATCATCTCAGACCATTGTAGGCCATGGAATCTCTTCCCGGTGCTCCTGGACGGTGAAACCTCCAACCATCTAGCAGGGCAGCTCCGCAGGGGTTGTGATCCTGGAATGGGTTCCCTAGGGAGGTGGTGGAATCTCCATCCTTAGAGGTTTTTAAGGCCCGGCTTGACAGAGCCCTGGTTGGGATGATTTAGTTGGGGTTGGTCCTGCTTTGAGCAGGGGGTTGGACTAGATGACGTCCTGAGGTCTCTTCCAACCCTGATCTATGATCCCAAGCGGCGGACCTCTGTCTCTCCACACACCCTGGAGGCGCATGCACGCCTCTCCGCATTTCCCAAGGACCCTCTCTTGTTCCCTGTCCGTCATAGCTTTATAACGCCTCGTTCTTTCAGGCAAGGAGTCACAACCTCTGCATGGGTTAGTTAACAGGCGTCATTACCTCAAGGATAGTGGCCATCCTGGCCAACGCTAGGGACCGAATCAGGGTGCATTCTCCCAGCACTTGGGGTCCTCAAAATGGCCATCAGAAAGTGTGACCAATTGTGATGAAAGCTCTCACTTTAGTCATCCAACAGAACATCTCTCCAAGTCTTATTAAGACGCAACGTGTTTCCCACAGCATCTTCCAACACAACCCCACAAGGATGTTCCAATTAAGGTCGAAATGTTCCGTTTCTACCTTAGTAGAACAGAACATTTTGTGTGTGTGGCGGGGGAGTGGTATTATAAAATCAAGGATCCAGAACAAAAATTGTGGACATTGTGTGTTGCGGGGGAAAACATCCATGAATAAACTTAAGTTGGAAGGTCTGTAACAAACCGAGTGGGTGTATGAGAATAACTCCTAATAGAAGTAACAAGGAGAGCAGAGGGAAACCTAACGAGACTTCAGATGGATCTTGATAAATTGATGACCGGGGTTAAATTGATGCCATTGCCTGGACTGGATGACCCAGGAGACCTTTCCAGTCCTATATAAATATTGGGATTTCTCAAACAAAATTCTGAGGTTTCAACTTGCACTCCTAAATCTGGCTGGAGTGCCTGGTGGGCGAATTTTGGCAGCCTAAGTTATCAAGGCTGTCTGAAGTCATAGTGGCTCCTTTGGGCCTTCGGCTGTGAATCTGCTACTAGCCCCAGTGGCTAGCAGATATTCTGGGCCTCACAGGGCTGCGTCTATGAGGAGACAGGGGTGATATGAGTCAGGTGTACCCTTGTTTATACCATCTACAAAGTTCTGCTTCCCTGAACGCAGAAAGAGCAACCGGTGCTCTGGCTTTCTGGCCTGGAGTGCCCAAAAGGCAGTGTGGGCTAGTGAATAGAGCACTGAACGGGGACACGTGAAAGGTCACCCAGATTTTCCAAGTCCCTTTACGTGCCTCCATTTTCCCATCTGTAAAATGGAGATGATATTGACCTTCTCTAAAGCACCTGGAGATCTATAGATGAAAAGAGCTAGGTATTACATTCCTTCTCCTGGCTTCCTCTGATTACAGGCTGAGGCAAACTCCAAGCAGCAGATTGCCTTGGGCAGTCATCTTCCCCAAGTTGTATCACTCTCTCACACTTTAAAGGGGCTTAATTGCTCCTTCTGAGCCTGAAAGACCACTTGGCATAGCCATGGGCCATAACACGGGTCTGTGGATCCAAGATTCCACCGTGTCTGGTTCTATCCCCCTTCTTCCTCTTGCAGGTGGCGAAGACCCACCTGAGATGGTGCTGGCATTGATTTTGCTGGTGGCAGCGGCTGTCGTTGTGGCTGTCTCCGCCCTGGGCGTCGTCTTCGTGGTCAAAAGACGTGGCCACTCGGCCCCACAACTGGGCGTGTGATTTCTGTCTTTCTGCGCAATAAAGAGTGAGGAGAAACCAGCTCCGATGTCTGATTTCAATAGACTGTTTTGGGGGGGTTCACTTTGGAATGGGTTGGGAACTGGTGTGGAAGCTCTATGGGAAATTCACACCTGGAAGGGAGACAAGAAACAGATTTGGACAAAAAGCTGAATCTCCCCCCCCCCCCCCCCCCCCAAAAAAAAAAAACCAGCACGTGGTGGGAGGGGACTGGATTGTGGGCGGATCAGAGTCCTGTTAACAAGGTGGAGATGGGTGTCCAGCTATAGGGAAGAGGCTGGGTTGAAAGTCCCTTTGTTAACCTCTGTAAAGGAATCTACCATGGAAGGGGTTGACCGCTCTAAAATGGTTTGACTGGTAGATCACAATGGCCATAGTGGGTCAGACCAACGGTCCATCTAGCCCAGTATCCTGTCTTCCGACGGGGGCCGGTGCCAGTTGCTTCCAAGGGAAGGACCAGAACAGGGGCTGGGTCAATGGAAAGTTGCCGTTGTCCAATCCCAGCGGTTCGGGGCCACCCAGAGCATGGGGTTGTCCCCCTGACCATCTTGGCTAACAGCCATTGATGGACCTATCCTCCAGGGGCAGAGCTGGCTTTTTCTAACCATGTTATACTTTTGGCCTTCACAACAACCCCTGGCAAGGAGTTCCCCAAGTTGGGTCAAGCACTTCCTTTGGTTTGGTTTTAAAGCTGCTGCTTATTAACTTGAGCAGGTGTCCCGCTGGTTCTTGGGTTATGTGAAAGGGGAAATAAATATACTTTCTCTGCACCATTCATGATTTGAGAGGCCTCTATCATCTCCTTCCCAGCAGTCCTCTTTTCCAAGCTGAACAGTCCCGTCTTTTTAATTTCTCCTCGTACAGAAGCTGTTCCATACTCCAGCCAGCACAGTCCCAATACCAATCCTTGAGGTACTGCTCTCCATTCTGAAAACTGACCGTTTATTCCTACCCGTTGTTTCCTATCTTTTATCCAGTTTTTGATCCATGAGACGACCTTCCTTCTTATCCCATGACGGCTTGCTTTGCTTAAGAGCCTTTCGTGAGGGACCTTGTCAAAGGCTTTCGGAAAGTCCAAGGACGCTAGATGCGCTGTCCACGTGTTCGTTGACCCCCTGAAAGAATTCTAATAGATCAGTGAGGTGTGATTTCTCTTTCCAGCAGCCGTGTTGCCTCTTTCCCCAACAAATCACGTCCAGCGCCGTGGAAGGCCAAGTCCTCGCTGCAGTAAGTGGGGAAGTGGAGGCAAGGCGGCCCTCATCTCCAAGCCTGGCTACAGCTTGGCCATTGGGTTTTGTACGGGGTGGGGGGAGGTCCCAGAAGGGAGTCATTGGGTCACCCCTCTCAGCTTCTGCACGTGACAGCATGTGTTGCTGTTAAGCTGTTAGGGGACGCCTCGAGGTACTGGAGGGGCTGCTTTGCCCGAAAAATGTTCTCTGCCAGCCCTCCATGACAGGAGGTGGCCTTGTGCCCCAACCCATCCTGTCAGGCGGTGTCCTGACCCACAATGCCCTGGGGCCCATGGGGCGGCCTCCTGTCCCACAATGCCCTGGGGCAACCGGCTGTGTCCCACAATGCTGTGGGGTGACCTCCTGTCCCACGATGCCCTGGGTCACATGGGGCGACCGCCTGTGTCCCACGATGCCCTGGGGCAACCGCCTGTGTCCCACAATGCTGTGGGGTGGCCTCCTGTCCCACAATGCCCTGGGGCAACTGCCTGTGTCCCACAATGCCCTGGG